TTAGTCACAAAGCATCGTTTCTATAGTCCATAAGGCTGCTTTGTTCTGTCGTTCCAGTGAAAGTGTTGAAGAGTCGGAAAGTCTCGCCATTTGTTGGCCTTCTTGCTCCCCTAGAGCTGGCATCCACATCGGCTCCATGTGCTGGAGTGCGCGAGCATAATGGGACACTAACCCATTATTTCGCGGCAAGTAGGATGTGTTGCCTCTCTTGCCATAGCCTTTGTGTTCGTAAGCAACCTTTTCTGTTCCCGAAGTGTGGTCTGGACCTAAGGCTAGCTCTTTAAAAAGGGAGGGAAGTGCTAATGCTTCGAGTGAAAATACTTGGCCACTGCTGCCTTGTTGGAGGTGATAATGATAATAGTAATACTCATTATCTTCTTCCTCGGCTAACCCAATACATTGTGTAAAGGCGCTGAAATGGGCATCTTCAGACTTTCCTTTCTTGTCTGTATTAGCCTTACCCACAGGATTGATTTTGAGATCCGAAATATCACTCTCAAGAAACCCCACACGATGATAAAGACTAAAATTTTCGCCGTAATCTTCATTGTAATTGGTTAAAATAAATAATGGTGGCTCTGATATCGCCTCTTTCAAAATAAAATTGAAGTCATGTGTGTCCGTGATAACGTGCTCTTTCAAAGTAGTTTCTAACCCGGGTGTGACAATGGCATCGCTACTAAGGGCCTCGGTCGTGAGCGTCATCTTCAAAGAAACACTGTTAATGCTGGCTGGCTCATAAAATTTTAATGTGTAACCATCCACATTAAATGTAGTAGATGACTGTGCCTTCTGAGTTTGTCGTGCATGGCATGGTTTTACAATTTTGCGTAAATAAGGAAACGAATCAAGGGGTACACCACTTAATGTAGAATTCAAAAAATCATCAAGATTGCGCATCGAATTGATAAAGAGTATGAGCTACCTGTGAAAAAGAAATAGACATTTCGAAAAATAAGAAAAAAAGCCGTTGTAGTGATTGAAAAGTGACGAGCAAGAATACAACTGTGAACATACGCACTAAGGGCTCCCTTCGACCCCTTATCATCTGCGAATCAGTAAGAGATTAGCAGGCAAATCAACACTCTTTGTAGTAGTGGTATGGGAGATAAAGAGTGAACTGGCCCTCTCTTACACCTCTTATCAACGTTTGAATGTGGAGGCAGGGCAATCGAGTTATTCTTCCCTGCTCACATGGCCTATATACCTATACCAATAAGATACTCTACCTGAGACAAGTGGGCCGGGCAGCAGTGACGCTGCAGATGCGCATCCTGCCCTACAACTGGAGTCAGAAGCTTCAACCAATGTCCACATATCTCCTACCATTGGGAATGAAGTCGACTCTACACATTCTTATGAGAAGTATGACAACTGTAAGGGGCTGAAAGTAGTTGACAATGACCAAAACTTTAGAGGACATCTTCGAAACGCTAGTCAACATTATTCTCCACACAAAACAAACAAAGGGGATCGAATTGATATGCACAGCAAGGTATAGAGATTCCTCTCATGTAGCTCACCTTCTAGAACGGGCAGTAATAACCTAGCCTCCCCCAGCCAAGCATTAGGGAACATGGGTGGCATGGAAACAGATACAGTCCCAGAGCCCACCGATGGAGCTGTGCCTAGTCATGACGTAGGCCTTAGCAGCGAGTGTATGTGAGAGTTCCCTTCTAAACTGCTGATATGCCCATCCGGGGGAGATGAACCCGAACCCAGGCGATTGCCGTGCAATACTTACTATGCAACAAAGGTGAGGGGGAACGGAGTTCCACAGACACTATTCAATATCGCCAGTCTTGCAACACGAGGAGTATCACTTTTGACGAAGAAAATTCGATTGCGTGCATTCAAGACAAATCTACCCACGGACAATGCACAGCTCTGGTATAAAATCTGTTCCCTATTCCCCGCTATGAATTCCGAGATCGTGCTACAAACCCCTGAAAAGATTGCAGGAGTGACACATGAAAGCACATAGGATATCCAAGGAGCACCAAACATGATCGACCGGGCACACGTTACTCAACGCCCTTTAATGGTGCCTGGGCTATGGGCTCCAACAGACAGTGGTTGCAGCCCGCCACTTCAACTTCAGTCTGAACTTACCTACCTAGGGGCTCAAACAGCGTCCGAGCTGGGAGTACACTTTCAGAGTCTATTTACAAAAATTTAGGATCTGACAGCTGTTATCAGCACAATACAACTACCCCCCTCACCAGAAGTAGTGATTAATGCACCTCAAGGATTCAGTGTCGCTACATCTTGACAGGGCGCAGGTCATTGTTACTACGCATTCAAAGATCAAGTGGTTCCTTAGCAAGGCTCTCCGCCACTTTGAAGCTTCGAGATGGGAGAACTCAAGGCACTTGATTCTCCCTGAGGGTATGCAGCCCAATGCTAGAGTCCAGAGCATCGGCGTACTAACCGTACTAGATCTGAAAGATCTCCAATGACTAGCGAAAGAGTCACTCATAAGTTCAATCATCAACAATTACAAGCTCCCCCATATGCAGCACCACACACACTCAGCACTTCTCCAAGAAAAGTATATATTTCAGATCAATTCCGAAGAATATCCTGATTCGATCCACCTCCTTCCAGAACCAACACGCAACAAGTTTATATTTAATGAAAGTGGCGACAGGCATAACCGTCTGTTCATGCTCCTAACGAAAGCATGCTGAAGCGTAGGGATGCTACAGACAATCCTTCTCCTCAATCATTGTATTCGTGAATTCATCGAACACGGCCTTGGCGATGGTAAAACACACACCTATCTCTACTGAAGGCAAAGGAAGTTTTTCTAACAGATGAATGTCAGATTGTAACGCATATTTTAAGGTCAATCTGCTCACATCACAGGAATGTGCGACATTAGCAAGTGCATCCGATGCCAAGATCCATGACATGGCCCCACAGTCTACAGTCCTCCTACCAAGTAATACACCTGAACTTCTATGAATTGCATGATGCGCTACTCGACCAGGACCGTAGCGAAGCCGAACCTCAGGTTACCATTCTACGTCACTTTTCCGAGCTCCGTGATCCTGGCGTTCAAATTATGAGCGCTCTCTATACAACACTGCAGAATCCCACAGCTACCCCCCCCCCCGGCTATTGTGGAATCTGATGACAAGCTTACAACTACTGAAATAGAAATGAGCGTCTGACTGACTCTGTCCCGCGTGTGTCGCGTTGCTATAAATGGATTAGAACTTGACAAAAAATACATGGAACTTCATTTTTGATGTCCAACACTTAACCCTTAGCAATAAGGATCATGATGTCATCCACCTCACCAATGCGTTGTCAATAGTCCGAAAGCTGTAGCGCAGGTTAATAAGGGGAACAACATTTACATACACTAGCAGCGATAGAAACATAACTTGTGGCTGGGACAGATCCAACGCATTGGACAGCACGCTGAGTCATAAGCAGGACCCCTTACAACAATAACTGATGTGGAATGATCAACCAGACGAAGCCCACATAGCAACCGTTACGAACCCCTTCCCTATTATCCACATCCAGAATTTAAACGGCTTCTAGAATCGAGCAAGATCACACGCTGAACAAACTCCACAAGTATAACTAATACACAATGTGTACAAGCGCTAGATCATCAGAACCCCTTCATACCTACTTGAGTTAATGAGTTCTGTGTGCATACCGTAACAAAACTATCAGTAGTTTCTGCGAGTGAGTATAATAACCTCCATGTTTTGAATGAGAATGATATAAGGGCCTTCCATTTTTGGAATTTGCTACGGCTATACCATAAAAAGACTAGTATTTAGGTAATATGCATTGTGTTCTCGGGAAGGAATGAAAACTATGGGCGGAGGCTGGTGGCAAAACCATGGAAAAGCTGCAATGGAGCATAAATCAAGAACCCATGTGCGGCACAAATATGAGTGGTCTCAAAGGGCATTGCCTTGCAACTCTCAAAATATTCAAATGTACGTTCTTCATTCGCCCCTGCGTGTCATTTTAGAACAGTGGAACTACGCTCTTTAAAGAAGTCAAATGCATCGTTTCAAGGGTATATTTATAGTTCTGTTTTTAGAGATTCACCTGTAAAAATGCAAGACCGCATATAAAATGGATAATTTTTCTAAAATGAAGGAAAATATCGTAGAAGGGGTCGGCAAAGTACTAATAAATATGCATACAGATGCTTAAAGAGAATACATTAACTGGTATTACCAAAAAGGCACCGCTGCTAGTTTAATAATTCCTTTTCCTCAAATATTAAACAATGGTAAAAAAAACTTGGAAGAGCATGGAATTCGTAAACCAATCTAGTGGACAAATTGTGGAAAAGAAAAAATCCACGAGTTCATGGGATTTCCTGATACCTAATTTTTACATGTCTCTTTTTTTATTGTTATCAAAGAACGAATACGCACACAGACATAAATCCGTTTTATTTACCAATTTTAAAGAAAAACATTAAAGAGCTAAATGTCTATAAATGCTCTACATGTTTCTACTTTCCATATTTCGATTTAATTTGGCTCACTATTATGAAAATAATATATTTTTGGCATTCAATAAGAGGCAAGCAATCTGTAATTGATACTGTCACAGTAAAAAACTAACCCTTTGAAAGGTAATCCCACTTCATTAAAATAATAATTATCCGTTAAGAATAACAAAAAAAAGCTTATGTTTTTCTTGCCTTCAAATGCAAAGTAACAACACTTGTTTCCCTCATTTTTACAATAGTTTGAATATTTTATTCCCTTTCAAGAAATGTAAGAATTCATCGATACAACGAGCATCGCCTATGAAGTGTCAAAAAAAAGGCTTTCAAACACCTTACTATTATTTTCATGCACTTTTAGTGGGAAAATTTATGAAGTATAATTTAATAAAAAAATGAACATGAACTCGCTTATTCTACAGAAATAGGGGCAGCATGTTTTTTTTAAAGTTACTGTGAAAATACAAAAATATGAAAAAAAATTACGAAAAAAATGTCGGTAATGTTCTTCTATCGCCCACAAAGATGGTCAATTATCGTGCTTAGCAGCCCTACTTTTGACCATATTTCACTATCGATAGAATAATCATTTCTAGGCAGGAAAAAGAAACCATATATGTATATAGCCATTTTGCAAACAAAAAAAATTATTTTGCATACTACTTTCTGGCTAAACCATGTCTATCCTTAAATTTCTATTAAGGTCGCTTTCCCTGGGACGGAAATAAGGAATAAAAAAATTAATGATGAATACTATCAAACCAAGGAACAGAACAGGTAGATTGAGGCGAGAAAGTTAAGCTGATGAAACAAAATTAGGTAAATGCTGTGTCTTCCCTTCCTCATAATTTGTACTAGTTGTGTCGTTATGTGAAGACCAAAATATGGCTTCCTAGCTTCACCCGTGAAGAAACAATGTATCCCCAGACAATGATACACTGTGGTAAAGTTGGTGACTGCGCTTACCATTATTTTCAAGGCTACTAATATCGTGCTTGAAGGTAGTTTAAAAAAAAATTCCTAGCTTTCATGGTAAATGGTTCGTGAAGATAGGCCAAATTTGATATGCTGATTCTGGGGCACGTTTTTGTCTCCCTATCGAGACAATAGCTTCGGCACTCACTATCAGCGTGGTGGTTGGCGATTTGTGAAACGGGCGGTTCAATGCATATTCGCTAACTTATATTCATTTCCTTCGCGAAGAAAGAACACTTGTTGAACGGCATTGAAAAGCAATTGGGGTTTACACTGACAGTCATAGGAGAGTGAGAAAATTCAATGCCCGAAATATACTCACTGCCATATAACTCCATTTCAGTAGACTCCTCGGGGGTTGTCGCAGTGGGCCTAGTGAGACCATCAAACGTGCCAAGGGACTTTTTGCTCGAAAATGCATTACTGTTCGGAGTAAAAGACAAGGCATGTTTGTCTCTCTGGGTAACCATAATTGGAAGCTGTGGCAACGACTGTAATGACACTTCTTTTGAAGCAATTTCGTGCCCAGCTACTTCTGGTGTTATTTCTACCGACAAGTGCTCACTGTCAGGCGCTTTGCTGCATGTTGTTGTGGCAATCATACCCAGTACCACCTGTGCAGTTGCTTCCAAGATGGAGGTGCTACTCAATAACGAGTGTTTCCTATTCGTGGAACTATCTTGCCTGTTATTTACACGATATGGGATACTATTAGTGAGAAGGGAGTGCTCACTCTGATTGCATAAGTTATTGTTTTCGGAGTGCACAATACTACGTTGTAAGGAACCTGGTGAAGCTAACCCACAGGATATGATTGAATGAGGAAGAAGTGACAAAGGTGTGTCTGATGAAAGATTATAACCTGAGCCTACCGACATGTGCCTTAACGCTGCGCACTCCTTTGCCGAACACATTTGGGCGCCATCCAGTTCGAGCGAGTTGTGCACACTGCCAGTGTCATGCTGAAAAAAATTGTCGGTGATATGGGTCGCACTCTCGTCGCTCAATGCGCAATATAGCCTCTTCATAATATTTTCACACTCCTGAGGATTACTTTGCATGTAACTGACACTCGCAAGCAGTGGGGGCATCTGCAGCCTAGCCCTGGACGGCAATGGTGTGATCCTCACGATCTTCAGTATTGAAACAAAATTTGTATCAAACTGCACTGATGAACAGTGAGAAGATTGTGTGGAAAATTGACTGAAATGCGTGCGTGAGAGCGCGTTCTGGGGAAAGGCTGTCACTGATGGATATCGGCGTATCGGCACATGCGTAGGCTTAAAGATCTCTTCATTATGAACGATCCTCTCTTTTACGTTGATATCGATAGCTTCACCAGGAACTAAGACACTTTTATCTTGAATCTTAGCACAGGTGTCTAGAACAATAGGAAGTCTATGATCATTATGATGACGTTTTTTACTGACCCCTATTTCCCCTCCACTCGATAATTTATATACAGTTCTTTGAGGACTCAAAATATTTGCATCGTGACAATCACGTTGCTTGCCCTCATTGATGTTTCCTTGCAAACTTTCTGCAATAATAGACTCTCTCTGACGGCGGAAGTTTAAAGGGGCTTGTGGGAGCAAAAAGTGCTCTTTTGAAAGATAACAATCGCGGCTGTACTCGTGAGAAGCATTGTCACATTCTGATGCTCTAGTTGCTGAAAGCACGGAAAGAGCTCGCTGCTGCCGAAGTTGGGTAGGGCCCACATGCGGATCCAGCAATGCCTCAGTTTGGTGTAAAGTCTCCGGTTTTCCAGAGGCTGACTGCGAAGGAAACCAACCTCGAGGCTGTAAGCCATTTATTTGTCGAGTGTTTCTGGTGCAGCTACGATGACGATTAAAATTGGGGGTAATGCTTCTCATAGGCACGGTTTCCCCATCCCGTCTGGTATAATTGATGTTGTACGTATGCTTGGTGTTTCCTATATGCATAAAATGTTCACAAGTATCTCCAAATGGCTGAAGTAAATTCTGATTGCTGGAAATATGACCCTGTAATACACAATCATTCGAAATAGCAGCGGTCGCAGAATTCATATATATGGGACAATTAGAATCACAAACACGAAAATTTATGTCAGCATTATGGTTCATGCTATCAGGTGTTTGGTCATCTTTTTCGGGTTGGACGCCAGATGGTGTGACGAAGCTCATGTACTTAGGAATATGTGGACGAAAATGTCGAATCCCAACCGAATCCTTGTGTGCAGATAAACATCTATGGGAGTGCACATAGCTAATCCCATTATTGTTATCCTGCGGGCGCGGCCGTGGTGGACGCATCGGCTTTGAAGGAGAAAACATAGATAACAAATTTAATTTTTTTTTCTCTTACTATTATCGAATCTATATCGTGTATAGTAGTTATTCTAATCAAGCCGATAATAATATAATACTTTCTAGAGGTTAAATGGAAGCAGAAGTGCAAATGTAAGGAAAAATCAAAAGTGAATAGACAATTATGATAGTAAATATAGGCGTAAATATGGGAAACATTAAACTACTAGTATCTTTGAACTTATACAGTCTGACTTTTTTCTCTTAATCTCTAAAAATTAAAAATTGTGCATTAAGAAATTAATATCGCTTAATGCAATACAGAAAGAAGCAAATCTATCGGAGCACATTACCTTGGTCCCTTTTTACTTCGCTCTGAAACGGAGCTTAGCAGTGGGACATAGGAAAGAATTACACTACATTTGGACATTGAAAGCTAGTTTTCAGTAATCATATGGAATAATATTACCCTAAGAAATTGCTTTCGACACATGTGCTCAGGAAAAACATAATAAAGTGAAAACTCTTTCACATTGAAAAAAATCGTGAGAAAAAATATACTAACAATTTATGCAAAATAAACATTAGAAAATTATATACAAAAAAATATCTAATAGTATACTTCCTTCTATAATCTAACATGCTACTACTAACTTGCAATAATGTCCCTTTTGCTAAAAACATATGAGTTACAGGACATGATTGAAGTTTTTTTTCTCTTATAACATCGATAATCCAATGTCTAACACCTTCCTAAGCCGAGATTCGATATCTACTGCTTTCAAAAATCGTTTCTCAAGGCTTGTCTCGATAATTATGCGAAAAAAATAGGAAAGCACAACATACCTGTAAAACCAAAGAACTGCCCACACATTGCACTTTGCGACGCTTTTTCGTAAACATCCTACAGTAAGGCTCCCGTAATGTCGGGCAAAATCTTTTTGTTAGTAGCTGCAAAAAAAAAAAATAATAGATAAAATAAAACTGGTGGAGAATAAAGTATATTTGTACTGCAATTTTACACTTCACATTTCTCTTTTCAGTAACTGATAGAGGGAACTTCCTCGACTGAGCTTATTATTATGTGCAATGTAAAATAATCGAAAGTAATATCTATAGCTTCGTTATACATGTGAATAAAATCGAATCAAATCTGTTATAACAGGCAAAAAATTAAAAATTAGCGTATTGAGTCTTGAAAAAAAGTAAATTCTGGAATAGAAAATAGAGATATACACAGGTACAGTAAATGAATTTCGAAATCACACTTACCTTTTGCATTCACTGTAAGAACCATGACGCTTCCATAAAGAAAACTAGCTAGCATTCTTATACTAGCCATAATATTTCTTTTGGTTTTTAATATGAAAGAAAAGGTTTATCATCGCATATATAAATATATATGTCATACCAAGAGCCTCAGGTCCACAAATCAAATAGATAATATAAGCATCTGTGGTTCGTTACAATGGAACAGTGTGAATTATTTGTTTTGGGATAGCCTCCTTCGTACGAGTATTGAAGTTATGACGACAATGTCGTGAATTTTGCGACACCGAATAATTAGGAGTAAGGCTGTTTTTGTAATCAACCGAAGGTGCTGATGGATTTTGATATTTATTCTGAAGTTTCACAATAGTTGTTATCTCATCTAGACGCTTCTCAATTTGTCTTAGAGACTTTGACATCATTTGTGTTGCGACACCCTTTTCAAACATAGCAATACTACCCAAACAAGAACGTGTACTGGGCTTCAGAGGCTCCGCTGTGAAATCGCGCTGAGGTCCATAAAAATCAGCTACCATCCCAGCAGTATCTAAGCTACAAATCGTTGAAGAATTTTCATCTACGTATTGATGATTCTCATGATCTTTAATTTGGCGCTCAAGATTTTTCAACCTCTGTTCCTTAGCAAGAAGCCATGACTCCGAATCATGAAGAATAAATTCGTCGTGCTGCAACCCCTGAGCCTGTTCTTCTAACGCCATGCGCACCTTAAAAAGAAGCTGCCCTCTCTTTGATGATGACTTTACGCCAGCCTTTTTTGCATCAAGAACGTCTTGTTTCCATTGGTGACGAGTATGTCTTAATTGTCGTCGTCGCTCTTCAATATTTCTTCGTTGATTCGTCACAAACATCCAACCTTCACGCACATGACGACGCTCCGCCCGAATCAGTTCATGATGTTCTTGAAAAAATGCAGGAAATGTGATTTTTGGAGTGTGAAGGCCTTGTACACCATTAATGATGCTGGGTGAGCAAGATTGAATCGGTCTGGACACATCAGTAGGAGGATATTTTTCATTATTCTCCGATTGAGAAGACGGAATAGGGTAAAATTCAGCGAAAGCCTCCTTTAATGACTTTGTAATTATAGATTTTAGGTCATGATTTTGGTTGCATAGTGATAAGTCGCACAAGTTCCCTTCGGGGGAAGTAGCGCAAATTATAGTTTCATCAAGTGGGCGAATTTTACGTGTGTTGTAGCATTCACTTTTCTTGTTAAAATCTTTACTCCTTCCTTCTTGAGATGAAATATCGCTACTCTTGAGCACTTTATTGTGCACCGAGTATTCCGGGGGCTTGGAGAGTGTTTCCTGCTGTTCCGCTAACTTTAGTTCAGCTGACTTGGGTTGTACTTCAGACCCCTTCTCCAACTCTTCTTTTAAGGTGTCAAATGCAAGCTGAGGTACTTCATAAGATGAATTATTAAGTACGGGCATTGATGCGTTCTCTATAGTCCCTTTTGTATTAATATCCACAATATTATCTTGGAGCAATTTTTGGAGCTCGGTGTGATTAGTTTCATACAATGTATTAATATCATCATGATGCTGTTGTCTGATCTCCTTTATTTTTTTTAAAATCTTTTCAGTCTCTTCTCTAATGATATTCTCATTAGTCTGCTTGAGTCGCATTAACTCGAAATCTAGTCTACGTTGCATATCTAACTCCTGCTGTGTAGTGCGAGAAACAAAATCATTTTCTGATTCAAACACTTTTTCGCAAAACAATGTATACGCTTTTGTATACTCGTTAAGGAGTTTTGATGCACATTCTCTCAGGCTATTTGGTATTTCAGTTTGGAATTCCTTCAGCTCTAGCGCGCCAATCTTTCTCCTAGATTTGTGTCCCGCATTGAACTCCCCAGTAAGGACTTCTAAATCTTTGGATTTTTCATTATTAGCCTTCTTCTTTTCCGACATTAGGTTCCCCTTCATGGATTCTCTAATATTGTTTGGTTCCTCTGGCTCGTGAGCATCTGACCCCCCTTTTAATTCTTCTTGTCCACTGATAATCACCGATTCTATTTTGGATTGATCGTTTTTTAATGCAATATCTAATTTCTTAAAAGCAAATAAGGATTTTGGTCTTTCCTCTTCAACGGACTCCTCTGAATCTCGTATTTTACACTCCTGCTCATTTTGATGAGTCTCTTTTCTCTTTTCTTGGTCGGTAGTATCAAACAGTGCAAACTTATTGATTTCCTGCATACCTGTGTCTGATGAATTTTCCTTCCAGCTGTCCTTTGCTTCAATGGGCATATCCAATGATGATTTTACTGGACCTGATAGAATATTCTCGGCCTTTGATCTCTTCTGTATTTTCGCTGACTCCTTTATACTATTAATGTCAACTAAGGATATTGCCTGAATAGGTAGAGATGTTTTACCTTGCTTTTCCGTAAATGTCTCATTAGGAAAATCGCATGATTTAGTATTCTGATTTTTGCTCCCTTCAGATAAGCTTGCCAGCTCGTTTTTGGTAACAGAAACACGCAAGTCATTTTCTGTTTCTTTGGGAAGCTCTTTCTTAAACTTTAAACCATTGAGTTTGCGTGTGTTGCAATTGGACTCTAATTCAATATTTTCTTTATGAATTGTTTCTCTCAAAATTTCCTCAACGCGTCTCTTGGCTCTTGAGCTTGTTGTTGGTTGAACTTGATCGTGTTCGCACTTGGAACCACAACAAATACTTCGAGGTGTTGGATTTTTCTTTTCATTTATAAATAGGGTTTTAAAGTAATCATCCATCGGGTGGTCCCAAATACTTTCCCCAGATTTGACGTTGAAGTAATAAAGTTCACCTTTATCACTTTGGCAAGCTTTCCAATTTTCAGGAAGTGGTGCTTTCAATCCCTCACGTGCAATCCAAAGAAATGGACTATCTTCGGGAAGATTCATACCAAGCCACTTCGCATACTCTATTATTTCAGTTTCGGTTGGCTCATAACTAGAGTTCGCATCTATATTTAATACAACTGGCATTTTCTTCTTTGTCTGTATATTTTAAAGTCCCTTCTCTTTTAAAGCCAGATTACATCAAAGAGTTATTGAGCATAAGAAAATATTGAAACCCACTAAATCCAAATATTTGAAAAAAAATCATCAATGTAACCCTTAAATTTTGTTAATAAGAAATTCTCAATGCACAGAGCTTCCATGCGCCTCCTCCATGCGGAAACGCGGATGAACTTCTATGAACGAAAAGAAAGTAATACCAACCAACCCGTCACGACCATTATAAACTTGCCGGAAAAAATATAGTCAAGGATGCGCGTCTCTACATAGCAGACAAACTCTGGCCAAAATAATTGCCAAGCCGTCAAACAACGTAGAAAAAAAAATTAATAACTCCTCAGCTGCGGACCGCTGAAAGAAGTAATACCCATCCCCCCGCCCAAAGAATCTTTAGAAACTTTCTCAGCAGGACACCCCATGCCAAGTGAGTCATGAGCATATATTCCCAACAGGGAAGAAGAGGGAGCAAATGAGCAAGGGTCTAATCCAAAAAGCCGCCAAAAAGGACGGGAAAGTGGCACACCCACAGACCAAAAGAAGGCGAGGACACCCAAGCGGCAGGCCCGAAACGTCACCAACAAAATGATGAGAATCGCCATAATTGTTCAACCCACAACCCTATATAATATGCAATATAATTAGATTGCCCCACTTAGAGTATCAAACGCGGCAACACGCCGTGGGGAATGGCGGCCCCCCAGGCCCCGAACGCGTCAGAAATATTAAAAAATAAACGCACAAAATGGCGACATCAAGTGTCACAAATTATTACCTATGCTCGACGGTATCAATTTAAAATCTTTCCATGGCAACCGCTATATATATATATATATATATAAGGGCGGGTATTGGATATGTATGCCAGGCAATTGGTCGAACAAAATTATCGAACATTATGTGAAAATGTATGCCAATAAGCACAAAACGTATTAAATAATGTTTTTTACATCAAAAAGGGATAAAAATAGAAATTTAAACATATTTTCCATATGGGAAACTAATTAAAACCTCCGGGTCATTAGGGTGCACGAGGCCCCAGCCACATACCCGGTACCATTTATGCATCTCGTGATTGGTTCCTTGGAACAATTACAAAGACTTGTAAGTGCAAAGAGATACGTGTGAACCAAACAGCTGTGTTAAAATTGGTGCACCACATTTCCAATATTATAGTAGGCAATAAAAATGACCTTTGCACATCATGTGGGGAAACGCACGGCTAAACATATCTAGTTAGTATTATCAATGTTTCAAATCACTCAAAAACTCAAGCACGAGGCAAATCGGCACACAAAACAAAAACGATAAAAGAGCAAATGACTAAAGTCTAGATATTATAATCCAGACCTAATAAATAGTCAATTCGCTAAATTTATCAAAATCCAAAGAAGCACATAAATATTAGATGTGAAATGCGGATAATAATAGCCTCCTGGCTAGCCTGCCCCCAAGCCGAAATCGCTCACCCAGATCATTTGGTGGATGACACTAAAGGCATAGAAAAATATAGGTAAATTTAAATATAAAATTAATATCTAACAAACAAGATGCCATAAAAAGGACATCGGGCTTCTTCATCAATAGTCATACAAACCTATGTCGATTTGGGGGGATAACAGACCCTGCGCGTAGCAAAGGGATTGGCCCCGAGACACGCAAATTTTTTAATCACCAGGGGAAAGGAATAAAGTTCAATACTTAAACATAATTATCACCCAGCAGAAAAAATATTATGATTCAATTTAAATAGTCCTATTATAAAATGAATTAACAGAAAATAAATAATTATACATATCCAAAATAAATTAAAAATCATTTAAAAAGAATTACAATTATTCAATTTGAAAATTAATTTAATTTATATTACAATTAATTTAATAGAGTAATAATTTAATTTTCATGTGCATAAATTATTTTTCATGTGTATAAATTATTTTTATGGTGTATATATTAATTTTTATGGTGTACAAATTAAATTTCATGTGTATAAACTAATTTTTATTGTGCATAAATTATTTTTCATGTGTATAAATTATTTTTATGTGCATAAATT